ATTATTACCTGTGTCTCAGAGAGCTTCCTGAGGAGAGGGCCAGCTTGGAGAATAATTAAACAAGGAATTGATTTAGCCATAAACCTTATTGCTGAACTATTCATTTTTGATAGTAAATGGTCACTGCTACACAGCAGCTTGGGAAAGCAGCTCTCTACCCTGTTGGATTGTAGGGCTGTATTTTGATAACCTATGATCTAAGTTCTGTGATGTCTTATCCCTTGCATCTCTTTTCTAACTTGATCCTAGTAACTTACAAGGAATCTAATACAGCTTGCATTGAATGACTTGAATATGCTGAGTGCCACTTTTTTATGTCTCAAAGAAGCACTAATACGTCTTGTGTGTGTAGTTTAGAAGCCTGAAGTCAGTAAGATGAAACCCAACACAGGCATTTGAAGCAGCCACTTGTGACAGAGGAATGTTAAAAAGCCTTACTGGGTTGTCGGGCTACCACATAATAGGGACAGGGCCATTTAGCTAAAGTTCTTGGTTTTTTTAAAATTTGAATTGTACTAAAATGTATGATGTGCAATTTTCATTTTTAGTAGCAAAAAAAAAAAATATGTGCATAGAGGATCTTACTAGAAGTGAGATACATTTGAAAAAAAAGGACAAAGGGAGCCCTCCCTGGTAGTGCAGCGGGTTTAAACACAGCACTGAGAAGCAAAAGCCACTTCAGCATGAGTTTGATCCCCGTTCTGGAGGTGACCCACATGGCGCAGCAGACCTCTCCTGACCCACCCACTGCTCCCCTCAGCAATGTACTTTATCAGTCGGCCTGTTCTGCTCCCTGCTCTGTCTCTGGTGAATCCTCTCACCACCTCTGCACTGCTGGCCTGTACCCCAGTTCTGTATGCACAAATACATAAATCTTTAAAAAAAAAAAAAAGGACAAAGGATGGAAAAACATTTCTCTAAAGAAGACACAGATGTCCAATAGGCACATGAAAACAAGTTCCACATCACTAGTTATTAGAAAGTGCAAGTCAAAACCATAATGAAATATCACTGCACACTCACTAGGATAGGTATGATCAAAAAATCAGACAACTAGACGTGTTGGAATTGCTGCAGAGAAATCAGAATCCTCACACACTGCTGGTAGGAATGTAAAATGATGCAATGTAGCTCTTGTTCAAATGGTTAAAAATACAGTTACCAAATAACCCAGGAATTCTACCCCTAAGTGTGTGTGTGTTTGTGAGTGTGTGTCCAGAACAAATGAAAACACATGTCAACCCCAAAAATTTTAGAAGAACAATTCATATAGCTAACAGGTGTGAACAATCCAAATGGCTATGAACAAGTGAATGGATAAACAAAAGGTGGTATATCCATACAATGGAATATTATTCAGGCAAAAAAATAACAAAGCTACAGCAGGAATGAACCTTAAAATATTATGTTAAGTGAAAGAGGCCAGCCACAAAAGACCAGATATGAAGTAACTTGCATGCAAATGATATGTCTAGGATTGACCCAATCTATAGGGATGATAAGTAGATTAGTGATTGTTTAGGACTTGGGAGATGGGAGCATAGAGGTTGACAGCAAA